TTAATATAATTTAAAATATAAAATTAAGATTTATTAAGAGTAAGAGAATAAAAGGCTAGAGGTAATATATAAAGAAATATAATAGCGATAAGAAACTCTAAAGACTAGATAAATAGATTAAGAGCGAATAGACTAAAACCGTATTTTTTACGCTAGAACTCGCGAAGTTTAATAATATTATCGCTATCGAAGCTAAGAAAAAGATAACGCTTTTAAAAAATATCTTCTTTTTTAAAGCGAGATAAATAAATTTAGATAATTTATAAGAGTATTAATACTCTAACTCGAAAGAATTTCTATTAATTATAATATAAGAAATTCGATAAATAATATTTATAAGTTATTTTAATAAAGTCGTCGAAGTAGATAAATTAATCTTTCGAGTTCTATAACTCGCTTTTAGATATATAGAGAAATAAATAGATTATATCTATAACGTATATTTTAACCTCGAGTACTATTTAGAATACTTTCGCTATTTAAAAACGATAATATTAAGAAAACTTAATAAGAATAATTATATTTAGCTTAAATTATATCGATTAATTACTCTTTTTAATATATTAGAAAAAAGATTTAAAAAGATCGTCGTTATAAGAATTAGCTACTTAATAAAAAAATATTAATTACTTTTTAAAGAGTATATAGACGAAAGAAAATTATCATTAATTAAGAATATAATTTATATAATACTCGAAGAAGTATATAAAATTTAGAAGTTTAAGGATAATTAGATAGCTTCGCTATTAATACTAGATATTAAAAGCGCTTTTAATAATATCTCTTATTTTTAATTAATTTATAATTTAAGAAAAAGAGATATTAGCGAAAAAGTTATTAAGTGAATTATAAGTTTCCTAGATAATAGATTAACGATTATCGCTATATTTAAAAGCGAGTTATCTAAATATAAAGTCGAGATAGAGATCTCTTAAGACTTCTTAATTTCTCTTATTCTCTATCTATTCTATAATATAAATATCGTAGATATCTATAAAGCGAAAGACTATTTAGTATTTATATATATTAATAATATTAGCGTATTTATAAAAGGCCTTATAGCCTAAGCTAATTATAAGACGCTAAGAATAATATATATCGAAATTTAGAAATAGATAATAATATATATATCGGAATTCGGAATAGATAAATATTAATTTATATATTTTTAATTAATTATAATAAGAATAATAAAGAAATAAATAGATAACGATTTTAATATATTATTAAATCTAGATACTTATATCGTAAAGCTTAAAGCGATAATAAGACTTTTTAAGCTTATACTTAACTTAGAGCTAAAATAAAAGAATTATATATAATTACTCGAAGTTAAAGCTATTATAAAATTTAATAAACTAATAAGCTACGTAGAATTAGCCTAGGGTATTTCTTATAAAGATTTATAAAAACTCTATTAAGAAATAATTCTATTTATACTACTATTTAGATATATAATCTAATATATATTATTAGCTATAGAATATAAAAGTAGAGAATAAAAGATATTTAAGATACTTCGAGCTATATAGAAGAGAGCGATATATATTATTATAAAAGGATAAAAGAATATCTTAGAGATTATTTTAGATATCGAATATTATTAACTTTCGATTAATCTCATCTTAAAAAAGTTATTATAAAGGTTATTATTAGAATTTAAATCTACTCTAACTACGATATTATTAAATCTATATAAGATATAGATAAATAATAAAAGCTAATTAATAAAAGAGCGAAGCTTAGAAGCTCTCTAGAATAAATTAAAGATATTATATATTAATAATAAGCGTAAAGCTCGATAAAGTAATATATCTCCTACGTTATATCTTTATAATAGAAACTATTAAAAATAATAATTAATAAAAATAAAAAGAAAGTTATTAAGTAGTATAATAAGATTATTAATATTAATTATATCTCGTTATATATATATATAGATAATAGCGAGATAGAAAATAAAATCGAAGCCTTCGCTTACGCTCTCTAAGTTATTAATATTTAAATACGATATCTCGACGATAGCGAGTATTATACTATATACGTAGGCGAGCTAAAAGAAATTAATATAATATATAAAATAACTATTAATATTATTTTCTTAGATTTAATTATCTAAATAGATAATTAAGTAGTAATATAATTAATAGCTAACTCTAGAGAATAAGTAGAGTAATATATTCTTAATAGAATAGTAAAGAAGCTAATAAGGCTTAAAGAGATAAATATATCTATTATTCTATAATAGATCGCGATTTATAAAAACGTCTTAGAGAATAAAATAACGAATAAACTCGCTAAATAGATATCGAAAAAAGATATCGAAGGGAATAAGTTTTATTTACTCTCGGCGATTAAATAGCGTATTAAAAAGCTAATTTATAATAATTAATAAGTACTCTAAAAGATATACGCTTAAGATATCGAGCTTAAGTAACTTATTTCTATATCTTATTATAGCGTTATAGCTTTTTATATAGAGATAAAGAAAACTATAAGCTTAATAATAATATAATTAAAAATTAAGAAGTTAGCTCTTAAAAATCTTCTTTATATATATTAAATAATCGATTTATCTAAATATAATTATAAAGAAAATAATTAGACTTAGAATTATATTCTTAGAGTATATTTTCTATATATAGAAGATAGATAGATTATTTAGAGTAGTTAATTAATTAATATTAAGAATATTTTATTTAAATTAAATCTTATAATAAAAGTAGTAAAATTTATAATAAGAATATAAACGCTAAAAGTCTTTAATAAAGTTATAATTTAATTTAATAAATATAGATATTATAATAAGAAATTCGATATTAAAGATAATTTATAGTTAAGGTATTAATAAATATTATAGATAAAAGTATATTTTTAAAAAGCCGTAAAATTAGAGTTTAATTTATATATTTTAATATTCTCGAATAGATAATATTTAATTATTTTACTTATAGACTATTTTATTAGTATTATTAATATTATTTTCTTTTCTTTTTATATTTATCTTCTATTCTTCGACGTAATATTAATTAAAAGTATTAAATACGACGTCTTAAGAACTTTAGAAATCTTATAAAAGTTAGCCCTTACGAGAAATATCTTTATTTATTATCACTCTTTAATAATAATAAAATATTATTATTAGAAGTTATTATCTCTACTATTAGAGGTTAAATATAACGCTTTTTATAACCCGTTTAAAGATAATTATTATATCTCTAAATAAGCTAAAGATATATTAATTATATTAATTAATTTTCTTATATTCGAAAACTCGATACGCGCTATAGTAGAGAGTTTTCTTAACTTAATAATTAAATGCGATAATTTTATAATCTATAGAATAATAAATATATAAATCTAGTAAAATAAGTATAATATTAAAAATAATAGGCGATATAGAAGATAAGACTCTTAAGAATCTTAGAAAGAAAAGTAAATATCTTATAATTTTATTATAGTCTCGAATAGTAAAATAAAAGTAATATCTCGATTTTAATCTTATAAAATAAGATATATATTATATAGACTCGGGTATAGACTATAGAGCCCCTTTAATATTAATATTATTATCTTCTCGAGATAATCTCCTTCGCGGGAATAATAATAAGAGAGAGAGCTTCTAAACTCGAGAAGATTAACTAAGTCTTAAATTAATATAAAAGAGTATAATAAATTTAATATCTATTTATAGTAATATAATCTTATTCTCTTAATCTTATCTTCTCGAGTAGATAGCTTATAATATATCTATCTATAAGATTAATAGATAAAATCGTATATATAGAACTCTTACTATCAACGATTATTAGAGAAATAATTACTCTATTAACGAAATAGCTAATAGCTATAACTTATAATAAGAGATTATATATAATTTCGAAGCTTTTATCTTTCTTTTAATATAGATTATATTTAATTTCTAGCTTTTAAATCTTTATTTATATTAATAAATCTTAGATATAATCTCTAATCGATTAAGTTAAATCTTATTATTCTTAACTCCGCCTATAATATTCTATAATATCTTTCTACTCTCAGCGATAACTATCGCGATTAAGATATTTAAAGAGATATAAAAATACTATATTTTATATATAATATAGAATATATTAATATTATTATATCTAAAGATAATCGCCTATAGCTTTAGATATAATTAAGAAAATAAAACTAAGATCGATTATAATATTATTAAAGATTTATAAAATACTCTTTTAAAGGAGTATAATAGTAATTATATCGCTTTATTAAAGGAGCTAGACGATTTATAGCTAATAACTAAATCTAAATATCTTTATTTTAAAGTTATAATCTTTATATAAGACGAGAATCTAAAGAAATAATATATTCTTATTGTGGTCACACAACGGCTGTCAGACTTTTGTCAGCACGTGCATGCCGTGATGGTGGTGAGTCATTGCTTCCTACTGCGTAAGGCTGTCCGGTAATCTTATTCTGCCGGACGTTGTTGACCATTCACCGCCAAACCTTCAAGATTGGAAAGATGATTTGTTGACTCACACGATAAAAGATTGAGAAATTTTCAAATCAAGGCAGGTATTGATATAAGGCACTTCGAATGTCTTCTCCAACTTCCTTTTCCAGAGTCAATTCATTCCATCTTGTCCTGTGCCAATCGGGTTTTGCAACTTAATCTCCTTTGGGAAAGACCACCACAGAGCGGCGGCTGCGCACACCATTTCTAGGCAGCACAATCCTTTCAACAGTCACATGTGAAAATACAATTGCCTCATTTCCGGAGTTTCCAACATTCGTGTCTCATAGTTGCCATTGCACATTTCTTTCATCGTTGCTCCATTGACGCAATCCAAAGACTTGTTGTCTCGTTTACTATCCTCTGTTCAAGGCCATTCAACTCTTCTCAGTTCCAATTGTACAGGCTGCAGCCTTGGTACACAACTGGAGGATAGTTTCTCACTCCCCATTGGTCCCGAAGAGCCAAACCCAGTCGCTTCGAGCACTCTGCTTGAGCAATCATGGCTACACCCAGTCAAGTCTTCCGCTATACCTCTCTGCCCGCCGAGCTTCGAAACGCAATCATGGAATACGCACTTGTCCCTGGCGATGTCTACCCATGCTTAACGGAATCGAAGCCGACATCCCCGAAGCCATCTCGCAAGCTGCTCCGGACCGTCCTCAGTCACCCTCGCGCGGTGTTCAAAGTCAGAGTTGGAGGAGTGGAACACCAAGTCGCCACGAAGCAGCCGGGGTTCCAGCTCCTGAGAACGTGCAAAAAGGCGTACCAGGACGGTCACTACATGTTCTACAGCATGAACACCTTCCACCTACCCGCCGGATCCGCTCGCGACGCGGAGGAATGGTTCGACAACCTGAAGCCCGACCACAGATCCCTGATCAAGAGCGCCTGCATGACCTTTCGCCTCGCGGACCTCACGCCCGAAGTCCTCGTCCAGATGGACAAGAAATGGCTCTGGGACCTCCCGCTGAAAACCCGCCAAGACGAGCGACGCATGGTCTTCGAAGTCACATATCTGCTCTGCTGGCGCTTTTGGCTGGAGAAGATAAGGTTTTTGCAGAAATGGGATACGCTGGACACGGTGTGTTTGGAAAAGGCGTGCGGTGAGACGTCCGTCTTTGACGGCGATGCGTTCCGTGCCCTGGACGCAAAGGAGGAAAAGGTCCTTGTGGATGTGGCGAGGGAGAAGGTGAAGGTTGAGCTCGAGGGCATGGTCAATGAGACGGGTTGGAAAGCTACGAAGAGGTGGCTGATGACCCGCGGGCCTGCTTCTGGGGCGTAACGCTGGGGTTTCATCTCTGGCGACTCCTTTCCGTAGCGGGAAGTAGATGTCCGATTCCGTTCTCGCTGGAGGCAACAGCGTAACGGCATCGATCTCGCCCGAATTTCTGGTGCTTGAATAGACGGGTAGTCCGCAACCTCTCCGGAAACCAAACGATCCTTTTGGGAAACCTAGTCGGTGTTCAATCATCCGTTAGCCATATGCACACCTACGTACGACCCCGCAACGGTTGCGCTCGTAACTTCCTCATTTTGTAGCCCAGTCCGTGAGTCACTGGTCATCAGTCACGCGTAGGGTACAGCGACCCGTAAAAATCCCCAGTCCCACCCACCAACCCAAGCGTGGCGACTTGGAGCTCCTTCTCCTTCTCCTTCTTCTTCTTCTTCTTCTTCTCCTTCTTCTTCTTCTTCTCCTTCTCCTTCTTCTTCTTCTCCTCCTTCTTCTTCTTCTTCTCCTCCTCCTTTTCCTTCAACCTCCCCCCCTCGTCAGTAGGACTCGAAACTTTCTTGCCCGCCGATGCGTGATCCCTGACCACGCCTCTCTTGCGGATGACACACCGCGGTCGGGATCCCGTTTGACGAGGGTTCGACACGGATGAAGCGTCGATGGAGGGAGGGGGTCTTTGGTTGGTTTGTGGATGGGTTTATGGGTGTGGTTGTGGTTGTGGTTGGGTTGGGGTTGGGTTTATGGGTGGGGGGTGGGGGGTGTGGGTGTGGGTGTGGGTGTGGGTGTGGGGGTGTGGGTGTGGGTGTGTGGGGGGGGGTGTGAGACTGTGATGGGGTTGGATGTTTGATGTGATGGGGGTTTGCTTTGATGGGGGTTTGCTTTGGTGAGGGTTTTATGTGGTCGGGTTCATGGGGTATGATGTATAGTATTTGATATGATATGGAGATCGCTGTTGATGGTTCGTTTGATAAGGGTTTTACTTTGATATAGGGGTTGCTTTAATGAGGGTTTGAGATCTTTAACACTTTTTATATGATTGGGTTCGAGTATACATGTGTAAGATTTCAAGGTTAAGATGCTGTTAGTAGAATTTAACATGAGTATTACTTTAATTTAGGATTCGCTTTAATGGAGAGTTAAATACTTATATTTAGTCGAATAGTTTATATATATAAGGTACTCTAATAGAGGTGTATATGTGATAACACTTTAATGGAGATGCTGTTGGTGACTTTCGATACGAGTTTTACTTTGATATAGGGGTTGCTTTAATGGAGATCTTGAACACTTTTATATGGTTGGGTTCGGGCATATGTGTGTAACACTTCAACTAAGGTGCTGTTGCTGGTATTTTAATGTGAGTTTCGCTTTAATATAAACACAGCTTCAATAGGAGGTATTGAGTACTTATATTTAGTCGAATTCAGTATATATATATAATACTTTAATAGAGGTGTTATTAATAGTATTTTAATATGAGTTTCGCTTTAACACAGGGTTCGCTTCAATGGAGGTGTTGAGCACTTTTATAGAGTCCCTGGGGTATATCTTCCTCTGAGGCTCTGACATTCCTCTGACAACCACCCTTTGCAAACATCCTACATCTTCCCCGCTTCTGACGCAACAAGCATACTTCCTAAGCACTATATAAAAGAGTCGGCCCATAAAGCGCAATACTATCCTCGCATCTGCCGTCATCGCCAATCACGGACTGGTCATCATCCATGGAGTGTAACATCATGGCAGCCGATCCGACGAGGCTTTCCTACTTCTCTTTGCCAGGCGAGGTACGGAACAAGATCATGGACCATGTCCTGGTCCACGGAGACATCTATCCTCGCAAGCCCATCTTGGGAACTACAGCCAGCATCGAATCTCCGCCTGGAATCCAGCTGATCGCAACCTGCAGACAGGCCTATCTCGAAGGCCACGCGTTGTTCTATTCCTCCAATACATTCCACCTACCGCCAAGCATGACATTTGAGTGGTCTAATAGACTTCAAGCCAAGCACAAAGCCATGATCAAGCGTATCGGTATCACGCTTGGCCTCGTCCAGTTGACACCAGCAATGTTGAGCCAGATTGAGTTCAGAAACTGTATCAGCCAAGAGGACGCGATTCGCGGGCCCTTCGCGGTATCAGACTTTCTGCTCGACACCTGGAATTCAAAACTGCGGCATGTGGCGGCTTGGACTTCCTTGAACGAAATCGAGGTGGATTCGTTTGGTCGCACGTACGTTCTTCGGCATCACGAAATGGTTGCCAACTTGGGACAAACCCGTGTCGATAGTTGGGGCAAGCTTGACATGTGGTCTCTGGGCCCTTACTGGCTCGATACACTCCGGCGATCGCGCTTTGCCGCGCTCGGCAACATCTACGCCAAGGTCAAAGCTGTGGGTTGGAAGAGAACGAAGGAATGGCTTTGTGAGGAAGGCAGGGAAGATATCTAAAGGTTTTCCGGTTGCGTCGTCCGATATGACCGAGCTCCACGGAGGCGCAGTGATGGTCACTCGGAGGACTTGAGTTATTGCATGTTGAGTTTTCACCCCGGAAGGGTTCAGGGTTTAACGGGGACGGTGCTCCACAATGTAATTGTAGGGTATTGATTTCAAGGCCATGTCTAGCAAAGGAAGACTCTCCTCACCAGGGTATGGAAAAGAAGATCTTGAATGAATGTGGAGAGAGCTTTGCTGGTTGACGAGGAGACTGGCATGCTCGAGAGACTAGCTCAGAATCTTTACACGCATGTTCAATAGAGGATCAAGCGATAGAATAAGATGTCTCACCTTGATTCTTTCCATTTTGTGTGCTCCTGCCAATGTCATATTTCGTCAAAAGTGTGAAACCACAGACGAGGCAAGTGGCCTCAGGCAAAAATACGCCTTGTAACCGGGCTAGCTCTAGCTTCCGAAGCATACACTCTGTGGGGATGCGGATCTTCCTTTTTACCATCTCCATTACTCTACCCTATCTATTCTATGGACTGAATTGAGTTCCGTGGCAGGCTGGATGGCCCTCAAGCTTATCAGTTCGAACTCAGTAATGAACGGAATCAAATGAACCCAAAGTCACGAGAAGCTGATGGAATATGCGTAAAGCGTTTCTACTTTCTATTATCGATCCTTTAGACAATCTTGCCATCTGTAAACGACACAATGTGTCAAGCAATTGCACTGGACGAGATTGAATCATGACAACAGTCTACCGAAATGGAAGATTTTTCGTTGGGGAAGCGGAGAGTCAAACCCCCAACGGCCCATTTTCAGCTTGTATGGTCGTCACGAACGATCTTATCGAACACATCGGAGGGGAACCTGATCTTATTGTCACACAAGCCATAGAGAATGGAGCCTCGGTGTCTGATATGCAAGGACGAGTCGTGATCCCAGGCTTCATCGACGGACATATGCACTTTCTACTACTTGGTCTAGCCCTCCGAAAAATTGACCTTGGAACCTGCAAGAACATGGACGACATCAGTGCTAAAATCAAATCATATGCCAAAGCGAATCCGTCCTTACCACGCATCCTATGCCATGGATGGGAGCAGCCCACAACGAATGGGATGGCGCTGGCTAGCATGCTTGATCCCATCGACGAGCGACCCATGTTCATCGACGCCAAAGACTTGCATTCAACATGGTGTAACACAGCCGCGCTCAATGAACTGGATGTCGAGTCGATGGAGGATCCAATCGGTGGCAAAATCCACCGCGACGAGCAAGGAAGACCTTCCGGATTACTGAGTGAAGCGGCCGCCGTCACGCTTGTGTGGCCCCATGTTGCTCGAGTGACGCCCCTTGAGGACAGGATCAAAGCGTTGCGGGAAGCCGGCAGAATCTACACGCATGCAGGATACACTGGGATGGTCGAAATGGCCATGGACGAGAATGCATGGGCTGGATTGCAACTACTGCGATCACGCGAGAGCCTACCCTTTCGTGTTGCCGCGCATTGGCTCATTAGCCCTTCGGATGATGAGAACGTCACTTTGAAGCAGGTAGACCGGGCTATTGAGCTTCACGAGAAGTTCAATGCAGACACGTCGCCGGCGCTACGTATAACAGGGATCAAGATCATCTGCGATGGAGTGGTCGACGCTTGCACTGCAGCTCTTACTCAGCCTTATAGCTCGAACGGCGTCTCGTGCTCCCCGCTATGGACTCCGAAAATGCTAGCTCCAGTGGTTCAAAAAGCTGATTCGGCCGGTCTACAGTGTGCCCTGCACGCGATTGGAGATGCAGCCATCAAAAACGCCATTGACGTACTTGAGAGCTTCGGTACTCCAGGACGCAGACACCGCATCGAGCATCTTGAACTGACATCTCCCGAAGACGCCAAACGGCTAGGCAAAGCCGGCATTACAGCATCCGTCCAGCCCGTACATTCGGATCCAGCCATCCTCCGAGCCTGGCCCAAGCTACTAGGCGAAACACGCTGCAAACGGGCGTTCGCCTATAAGAAATTCCTGGACGAAGGCGCCGTGCTTGCCCTAGGGTCTGATGCGCCAACCGCGCCGCATGCACCACTGTCGAATCTGTACTGCGCAACCACCCGGCGGTCTGCCAGAGAGCCGGAGTCGTTGGCTACAACCAACGAGCAATACGCGCTCCCGCTTGCTACTGCGCTGGCTGCGGCTACGGAAGGCGCTGCGTACTCATGCTTTGCCGATGCGTGGACTGGGAGACTAAGGCCCGGACTCAAGGCTGATTTCGCTGTTGTTGATATGAGTTGGACCTCAGAAGATTTGCTTAAAGCACAGGTGTGCCAAACTTGGTTTGAAGGAAAAAAGGTGTATGATTGTGACGATAAATCGCATTAGCAGCTTTGGGATCGGAGTCGGTAGGGACTTGAAACGAGCAGCATATCGAGAGGTAGCACGAGGAATCCTTTGGGCTCCCAGCGGTTCAAACGACGCATTCTATTCTCCCTCTCACTAGCCTTTCTCTTGGGAGCACAGCAGAGCTTTCGTGGTTGGTATAGTATTGTCGGCTCAAGCCAGAGATGAGAAAAATGCGGGCAGGAAGACAGACGATTGTGCTGATCTCACGCCCCCACGGTCTGTACCACCATTCGAACAGCTTCATGGTATCAGAGCCATTCAAAAATAAATAAATGACAATGTTACCGATTTTACATTCTCGTACCACCTGGGTATAACGTGCGCAAACCTAAAACATTGGTGCAGAACATGGGAAAGATAAGAATTTGCGGAGGTCAGCCCGACACAGTTCGTGTCGCACATTGCATTGCGCAGCAAGGCATTCCCTAAGCCACGTACCACTACCACTCATTTCTGACACTCGAGGAGGGGGGGGCGAAGATTTCTCTATTGAGGCAGGTTTGAGTATTTGAGGGTGGGCCCCGATTGGCGCACAAATAACGCGCGTATGCGTCCGAGATCCTTCGTCTCGCTTGAACTTCTGTACCTGGGTAAGATCAGCAATCGTGCAGATTCGACCGGGTTGATAGGCAACAGGGTGTGAGGGGTAAGGCTGCGAGGCTGCAAGGCTGCAAGGCCAGAAATTTGTTGAAGAATCACGTTTTTTTCATATAATTTTAGGACTGCACTCGTATAACAGTCGCACAATCGGTCACATAAAGTCACACTGGGTCAGTCCTCTTGACTCGCCGCAATGGAAATAAATGGGAGTCCGTCCATCAATGAACCAACCACCTCATCAGATGGTCCATTGCCTAGTATTCCAAGTCTGTCCCCCAACCCAAGCTCGTCATCCGATTCTTTCGATTCGTCACGGCCAAACTCGCAAGGGAGCAGTGCGACTTCTCGATCGGTCTCACCCTCACCAATTCCGAAGAGTGTCCCCGCGATAGATAGTCAGGAGTCAGTTGAGCCTCATGCCTTGCCTCCAAATCCACCACTCCCAGAAAACAAATCAGCAAGCCAATCACATCGCCAGAATCACCCCCCAAGATCCGTACCCCCAGCGCCGACTGCAAGCCCTAGAACGGACCATGAAGTCTCATGGATTTCCCGCCTCAGATTCCTCAGTCCGAGAAGAGACTGGTTTGCAAATGGCCTGGGTACCATAAGTCTCGGGCTTACATTAATTGGGATGGTCATTTTTGGAGAGCGAACATACAAACTCGCGGTCTGGTCAGCTAAGAATGATGCACTTGACACGTGTGGTCAACTGGACTCTGTAAGTAGCTCTGGGCTATATCTGGTCACCTCTATTCGACTGGCTCTAATGTTTCCGTAGACTGGGATTCAACTCGGTCCGAATTGCAAAAAGCTTCTGTCGAACAATACGGCCGACGTGATTTTTCCTCCATATAGCCACTGGAAACGAACCTTGAATGCAACACTACAAGCGAGCTCGAGGCTTTTGAAGGCTGGCTTCACGGAGCGGTCTTCTCTCCCAACTGACGGGCCTGGAGATGACACAGTCATCTCAACCTTCAACTTCTTGTCAGCAGCGATCGTTCTCTCTTCTACTGTTATCATAGGAGGTCTATCACTCATCGTCTTTCGCCACCACTGGAGGAGTGAGGAGGTCTTCACAAGCCCGGTAAGGTCCGATTGGCAGTTTACACGACACCATCAAGAAGGTCCAGAGACAGTCAGTGGGGAAGGTTACCGTATGATTACGCGCAACCCAGAAGACGATCACCCCCTCGGGCAGCTACGGCAACGAATCCGAAGCTCGCAACCTAATGCAGTAGAGAATCCAACAGGCGAGCCTACGTGGCAGTCTCGCAATACTTCTGAAGACACTCTCGTCGGCCCCTTGAAGGATACCATGTGGGGCACCTCTAAGGTGTCGCTGACCAACGATGCATCCGACGAGAAACATGAGAACCTCATTGAGCTGGAGACTGAAGGCCCCAACAAGACGTTCTTCGATCCCGAGACAGGAGAGTTCATCCACCTTACACCATGGAAAAGCACTGGCAATGAAGAAGTTCATGGGCTCAAACCGGACGGCAAAGGCAGTATCAAACGTGCGTTTGCTCAGATGGCTCTGGGAGCAACTGGTTGGGCAGGTGGCAAAAATATCGACGATCAGCTGGCAGAAGAGCTACAGGCAAACAGCAAAGGCGCAGAGAGGGATTCGAGTACACTCAAAGCTGGGGATTGCATTACTGGGCATTTGGCAAACGAGGTTCCCTCTGGAAAGCCTACGATGGTCTGAGGCTTCGTAGGTTTCTTAGTCTTGTGCGATGAAGAAGCACTGCTGACGGTGGACTCGAGGATCCTATCGCCGCAGTGAACGACAAAGACACAGACGAGGTCGACCCTAAGGTGACGGCATTCCTGCTACGTAAGCCATGGTATGCTGGCACGAAACATGATACTGATACTGATTTTGATGGGGATGCGGACGCGAGCTCAGACTCGGACTCGGACTCAAACGTTGAGGGAACAGGATCAGAAAGAAACTTGGCTTCGGCTTCGGTATCGAAGTCGGACGAGGCTCTAGAAGATGCAGATATCTGGATCCCACAAGCCACTCGAGACGGAGGATTGTTCAATCTCAATACGCTCACCGGGGTCACGAGTTCGGAACTACCACCATTAGAGAACAGATTGTCGGATCGGACGCCAGATTGGGAGGCCGAAGCTATGAATTCTTCCCAATATCCATACGCGGATCGCGAGAACTCCGGGGCTCACTCTGGCGCTGCGGTTGCGAGCCCGCGCCAATCCGTTATGGTGAGGAAGATCAAATTCCGAGGCCATATGGTCATCGGCTCAATACGCAAGAGTTCACCTTTCGAGCCCCCTCAGAGGAATACCAGCGACGAATCGATGCCATGATGGAAGAAATGGGCTATTCCATCTCACCCCCATTATCGTACGCCGATCGCGAGGATCCCGAGGCTCATTCAGCTAACTTCGGGCCTGTGGTTCGCGAGCCCATTCAGATTCTTGATATGGTAGGAGACGATAGAATCGAAGCTGGGCATGTCGAATTGCAGCAACCCAAGCAAGAACACCTGGAAGCAGAGGCAAAACTTCAACCAAAAAGAGACAAAGGGAAAGGATTTCGCTCCATAGTTAGATTCTCAGGAGACAGGGGTCGAAGAGCAGTGCAAAGTCTCTAGACGAGATCGACACTAACAGCTTGTATTTACAAAGAGAGCTCTCTGATAGTAAGGGACTGGAGCTTCCAGACGAGATATCGCCGTCATGGTTTGGCAACGAAATCTCAGAAATGGCTCGATGTCCTGCGCCCTCACCACGGTTTGAACTTGGAACTCGACTTACATCCATTGTGGCCTCCTCATCATCAAATCTGGACAAACCATCACCAACGCCGCCTAAGCCGGGGTTGCAATATGATGAGCGGCCTCTGCCGTCGATTCCGGTTTCTGGTTACCAACCGCCCCTCCATCTCAAATACGTCGCTCGACATGATTTCGAAGGACCACGAAATGGGCTGGCAGTCTCCCCACCGACAGGAGCCATCGCTTTTGAGCTTGTCCTCCACAGACGTCGAGCTCATGTTAGCACTTGAGATCGCAGAAAGGCAGATGCGTGAGCATCCTTCTATTAGCTCTTTATCGACAGACGTGGAGATCGTAGTACCACCTGGAACATCGAAATCGCAGATACCGGGCAGCCGTAGTAGTCGCAAGGGAGAGCGAAGAACATAATTTCTTTTCTAGCGCTTCTCCCCAGGCCTCACTCAACATGATACCTCGATATCGTTGAAAGTCACGCATCACTAATGATAGCTCGATGAATGAGCAAGCCTGTCTGATGAATGATCATGTCTTCCGAGCCGACTTGGCTACGCCACCAACCAGCACGAACCCCTGGTGGAGGCGAGTGAAGCTCATTCCCGGATATCCTCGCAGTGAGATCCTTTTGGCATACTGCTTTAGGGGTTGGCGGACAGACCATAAGACTCTCTCGGAATGTTAGCTAGCCGTATCAGGATCGCTACTAGTACGCTCATTCCTCTATCGCTCCTGCAGCTCACGTAGTCAGGGTCTATATTCTCCCAACACTACATTTGATGCACAAAGCTGTTCGAGGTGTGTCATACGCGCGGACAGGTGGCAACAGGTAACAAAGCTCACATGGACATATGATTGGTCTATATGGCCATATCATATGTGTGTCAAGGTACTATCGTCCTTTTGCCACAGGCCTTTGCTACCATTTCTACATGGAAATGCCACTCCATAGAGACAGTCAATCCAACCACAATAGTCATGGACTCCCTGTCCACAGCCTTTCCCTTCCTCTTTGTTCTCATCTTCATCTCAGACGTCGATCTATATCCGCGTATATACTTATTGTAATCTTTGCTATATAAGAATAATACTGACATTCTAGACTTGTTTAAGAGTTCAATGTGATATATCAGTGAAGAGTTTGGAAAGGACCGTCAGAAACCAGTGATTGAAGTAAACTAGCTTAGTACGAAGTCGAACGTAATCATCGTATCATTTCTTCGTTCGAGGACCTAGAATGTCACTTTATGAGTAAATATTGTAGAATGGGCATAGTGAAGCTTCTCTTCTCCAGATTGGCAGGAACTCAATGAACATGCTTCTTGTCCTGGGGAGCAGGAGCTTCACTTCTTTTCATCACTTCGAGCCACCCTGAAAACAACCCAAGTCAGACACCTCTACTACATATCTACCTCCCCGCAACCTACCGCGCAACCTCACCTCTTCGAACCACCATGACTCTCACACCCTCACAACAACCACACCAAACCACATCACCATGGCCGCCTCAACCACCACCACCACCCCGGCCCTCTTCCGCTTCAGCGTCCACAACACCACCGACACAACCCACATCTCCCACACGCACCCCGTCCCCCTCTTCCTCTGCCAGCCCGCCGAATCCCAACAAACGAGCGCCGCCTTCAAGGACGCCTTCATCGACGTCATCGCCCTCATCACCGCCCAACACCACACCGAATGCATGGCCGCCCTCACCTCCCCCTGTCTCGCCTGCGCCTCCCCCACGACCGACTGTCTCAAATCGCCCTCCTCGTTCCTCAACCTCGCCGAGCCCGTCGTCGTCATCGCCGTCTACCCCGTCTGCGGCAGCAGGACGTGCGAGTACCAGGTCCGGGGTCAGTTACTGCGGCGTCAGATGCGGGGCATCGAGGCGGCGAAGGAAGATGAGCGGAAGATCTATGGCAAAATGGTCTGTGAGGTTTGCGGGAACAGGGACGCGAAGCGCTGTGCTGGGTGTGGCTCGGTGGGGTATTGCGGCAAGGAGTGTCAGGCGGAGGGGTGGAAGGTGCATAAGCGGGATTGTAGGAGGGGACATAAGCCTGGGAAGAAGGAGGGCGAGGCGGTCGGGTTGCCGTATGAGACTATCTGAGGTGGGGAGATGTGGCGGGAATGGAATTGGGTGCTCTGGCATGAGGAGGATGTCATTATGCGAGATGCAGGTGATAGGATCGGTGTCAGCGTGGACTTGGGGACTATTGTGCGTAAAAGGCTGGTGATCGTCTTCATGGAAGCGTGTGGTATGAGGGCTGACTGAGGGAAGCTAGCTACAGCTGAAGGCACGAGCTACGGTTGCATTCTAGCAGACTTCATGGAGATCGAACAGCATGTGTCGAAGAGCTTGGAAGCTCTTGCTACCTTGTTGATGGTTGAATGAACAAAGATCTTACGAAACACTGCGTTGATATTCACATCAAATTGCACCCATATATCGTACCCTGACTTGTTACTGCCGATTCCCACTACATCCGTCTACAACTCCTCTGCCCTTCTACCAGGCCTCCAATTTGCCATCACTGATCTCTAATCGTCCCCTTCAAATGGTCCTTTAACTCATTACACTGAGCCCACAAATGATTTCATCCCATCTCTGTACGGAGTGATGAGAGGCAGAAACCCTCATCTCGCAAAGATTGTCTTGAGTGGGTATAGAACAACATATACGTGTATAAGTCAAAGTCGGCGTCCGAGACGAAGACGAAGATGAAAAAGCGGGAAGGAAGAAAGAAATAAAAGACTGTGAGAAGCGCGTCCATGGCTATTGATGCCTCAAGCCTTGATCCTTTGCTTTACCGTTCTTTACTTTACTTTGACCGATCAAATGCACCCTTGGGACTCGAGATGCAGGTATGGGGTGTTATGGAATTGTGTTTTTAGGAGGGAGCTGTGGGGGAAGGCGGACGTATGGGTGTATGAATAAACAATCGAGGAATTGGGTGGGAGGATGGTGGCGTTCATGGTGATGGCGGTGTGCTCGAAACCCGATATGGAAGGGGTTGATCTCGATGCTGGAAGGATTGGATCTGTGGGAAGACCGAGTGCCAAAGACCAGACGTAGAAGCCATAGATGTGGGCGAGCACGGTCTGTGAAGATATCTGGGGCGCCAGGTTCGTGTCCTGGAATGGACTCTGCTCTCACGGTTGCATAACGCTCTTGAGGCTTGCGGCCAAGGTTCTGAGACTACAAGTTGAATGCTTGTCGTCTATGAACATGTACTCCTCTAATTACGATCTCTGGATCTCTTAGGTTTTGCTGGTGGGCTGAGAACAGAGGAAGACCTCGATGCTCCTCCGACTCATGTCGAGGGAGCTCTTGCTTTCATGGGAGTGAATGGTTGAAGTGGAATGTCAAAGGTCACACAGGACCAAACCCGGGTTACCTTTGCATTCTAGCCATATCTCCACGATCATCGATGTGTAGCACAAGTCCCGGGCATCTGGTCCCATCAGATCTTCAGATGTGTAGTTGGCAAGATCCGACGGGACAATTTTCCAACCGAGTGTTTGTAGAGAGTTATCGTCACAGATATACGAAAGCAAAGCCATAGCCTACGAGTAGATTATCTGGCACGTCATCAGAACAGAATGCTTATCTGTCAACGGCAGAAAAGGCCGTCATAGGCTTCTTCATCCCAGTATTTGCATGCAGATGTCCGAATAATATATGGCATTACCTGGACCCATCAATGCCACCGTTTGTCCGTTATGTTTGATGTCCCATTGTGAGAAAATGACCTGTCTGCGGCCCAGGCGCCAGACGTTTCCCTTTTCAGAGCCCGATCAGCCCCATCGAATTCCAGTGATTTTTAAAGACAGCGCCCGAGTGGTGTAGCCGGAAAGCTCCTGACCCGTACAGAAATCCCTGCGTGATGATTTTTGGAGCCTCGTCAACGGCACCAGCACCACACACTCAAAGAGATGAGCCTAGTGACGAAGCCCAGACTGCATCATGCAAGCCATTGCATTGACCTTGTTTGGGAAATGACTACGTGTCACGCTGATATGACCATCAAATGGGTTACCAGCGAGCCCGATGACGGACGGAATCCAGTTACCCATACCACATGAGCAACTACAATATCACTAATATAGTGCATCAATGCGTGCAGTGCGTAAAAATTTCCCATTAACGTCGAAGGATACCGTGCCTGAAAATGATAGCTGGCACGCTTCCCTGCTGTTTGGATCCTAAGTAAAAGTGGACGAATGGTCATGCACCAAGCAATTCATCATCTTAGCGGATTCATCGTAGATCCTGTTCGTGTTGTATTTCCCCAACTTCTCAGTGGCATTCCTTATCGCTGTTTGGCATGCGGGATCTTTCGCTACAGCCCGGGCCTTCATATCTTCAATGCAGAGTATGTGAAGATGATTTGGGTGCTTCTGGTCTTGCCAGAGCTGGTGAGGGGGAGATTGAGAAACCTTTACCGGAATATGAATTGAATTTGTTACAGTGTTTCAACAGCCTTAACCAGTCACCGCGATGGATGTAACTGAGAGGGTGTTGGATATCAAAGAAAAGATGATTGAGAGTCGAGAGAAAGCAGGCCTCGGGGGAAAAGATAAAAAGCCGGTAATTCCGAGCCAAGCCACTAGATCCAGTCAGGCTAGATCATATGCCAAGCCAATCTACTCCACTCCTCCAAAATCCTTTTTCACTGGTCGAAAGGTCCTTTGGATATAAAACTCCGATTCATTGATTTGTTGCTCCCAAAGATTATAGATAGCTTCAGCCATTTGTGTTCCTCAGGTCTGGGAAACTGCCTACCTTTGTCACGTCAGGGACACTCTGCATCTTCCCTTTCATGCTTAAGTCACCCACCACCATCCATCTCAACGTTTCAAAGCATATCAAACCCACAGTCACGACTGACCAGAATGTCGAGCAACACTGTTGATAAGTGGCTGGATGCATTGCGTTTCGAGAATTACCGCCTCCAATTTAGGCCTCACCCAATTGACGCCGAGGAGATAAGATCACAAATCCAGGCGCTCGAAGCTCGGCCCGTAGCCACAATTGCCCACGGCGACTTTGACACTCTACTCCACAAACTGGACAGCCTGAAGGAAGACCTGGCCTCCGTCGAACAGACGATCGAGCTCCTCTCACAGATTAGGGAGTTAAGAGGACAGATCCGCGAAAAGGGTTTTCTCGAGTACGACGTAGATCAGGCCGGAGAGGTGATCGATAATCTTCATTTCCGGTCCGAGAAGAACAAGATGGATCAGAGGCAACGACAGTGGCGACATCTGGCTTCTCTAAGGCGAGTTTGGCCGGAGGCCGATGCCGCGAGGAGGAAAGGCATTGTGCAGCTGTTGGGGACGTATAGTAAAAGGAGATTCGTCTGCGGCGCGACGAATCTTCGGATTGGTACCGTGACGAGGATTGGCAGATGGGCGAGCAGAATGTGTAAAAAGTATTGATGGTTGGGACTTGGAGCAATTTGGCAAGCTATCAGGGCAAAAGGCTTGTGTTTGGGTGTACAATCTCCCTAAATCTCTCTCTCCCACTGAAAGGAAAGGTTCGCAACTGCCATCAATGTTGTCAAAGTCCAAGTCACCGGCTAAACCAAGTCGATGGGTCCAAGTCTCAATTCGTGCTCAATTTATATCAACAACGCCTGTATACCGGATGCTGGCTTCTCGAAATTCCGATCTCAACTCAGAATGGTACTGATGTGGTTCTCCAGCAACAGTATAGTTGCTTAGAGCATTGCTAGGCGGAGGACCTCGCGTTCCAAGGAGATCAGACGACCCGAACATCCGATTACGCGTTTCCTCAAGCGCCTCTATGTTCAACCGCAACATATATTTAAACGCCTCATCTCAGACGCTGAAAGAGTCTACGTCCTCTTCATGTATCCTCATCTAGTCCTCGTATTAGCAACACTACTCTGGCTGCCCTTTCACCCTCTTACGACTACTGCGCTAGCTGTCGCTCGTCACGGACCGATCGCCACGGCTTCCAATCAAACTCAAGGCAAATCAAACCTCAAACTCACACCCTCTGCAGGTTTTCCCAACAAGACTCTCGCGCCTTCGCGAAACTTCATTTCATACCACGTCCCCCACTCACCCACGACCCTCCAATTCCACAGCTTCGGTTCCTCGATCCCTGTCGATGAATTACTCCAGACTGTCGCCTTAGCTGTAGGCGTCATTTTCAAATACATAAGCAAAGGGGAAGGCAGGACACCCATCGCCACAGGTGTCTTCGTCTTCACACACGAGTTCCTGAATCATGACGCGATTGAAATTATCGTTGGCGATTTTCGGGAGATCGGTCGGCCAATGACTTATCACGCCTTGTTCGATGTGGTGAGAGGAGTTGGCGAGTTCATGATAATGCCAGGGCGCAAGACTCAGGAAGTGGAGTTTGAGGCGGAGATCCAGGGGCTTGGGTATGTGGGGACTGGACACGTCGATTACAAGCCAGCTGAAGTATCGACTTCTTGATCCTGCTGAGGTTTAACCCGCTGCATCTTCTAAGCGCAGATTGTGTGCACATTTCTTCTTATCGCGCATGACTCGGGCGCTTTGGGTCATGGGCGTTCTGCAGTGCAGGGTGGGCTGATAATGGGACTCTGGGTGTATGCACTCAATATCACGGTCAGGCCTAGAGTCTTTGATCTTGGTAGTCAAGCGGGCTTTTGCTCTTCATAAGTGTCCACAGACGCAAATGGTACAGTGCCGACTTCGTCGAAAATTTGTGGTCTTCAACTACAACTTAACATCCAGTAGAGAACGAGGTGCAACCAGGAGCTGTCAAACTTTGGGACAAAATTAGACTCTCTACCGACAGGATTCAAACCATTACTGTCTTCAAAAGAGACGAAACCCTGCGACTCCAGGGGAATATCACATGATGATGGCGAAGTGGGCCGAGTCATACAGCAGCTAAGTCAATATTCAAAGCGCACCTTCCACAACCCGATAGCAAGGCGTTACCCTCTCATCGATCTTTTCGCAACGCGATTTGAATTTTAAGTCCGAGTAACGTTTCTCCGTAATCTCATATCTCCCATCTCTTGAAGCATTACCCATAGCCCAAATACTCGAAGACGCGCCAGAAGCCAAAGAATCCAATCCAATCGAATCTTCCAACCGAATCTCGTTCCGCGGGCAAGGTTTCCTTCGATTGTTTACCCATGGCCCCGCTGGTCGAGGAAGACAAGTCTAAACGTGCCACGCGTGTTTGGTCGAGCAAAGCCCCACCGTGCCAGCGGCGGTAGCCGCCCCAGCGTGTGAGCTTGGATACCTTGCACCCGAGCTTTTCCACCAGACTCTGGATGATGCCCCAGTGCTCAGCGTACTAATCTTAGTATCTTACCCCGAGCCAGGTACATATTTGCATCAACGCGTCCTTGGTCATCTACAATGCAGACAGGTCTTTCCCTGTCAGAACGAACTCACATGGGCATACAATTTGGACGTTTTGCTGTACGATACCGCGACTTCTTTACATACTTTCCCTTTACACCTGTGTGTTTTCCACAAAGGGCACAAGAAACCTTCGTCCGCAGGCGATCGTACCGTCACGTGTCCCACATGCTTGAAAATCAAGCACTACCGTCTTCCCGGATCTTTGGTCGAGAGCATCGGGGGAATACCCGGGTCAGTGTCTAGATTTCATAGAGGAACACCCTTCAAGAGGCCTCGGAAGAGTTGCTCACTTCCAATGTACCATTCTACAGTCGGCGAAGCTCGGCATTTTGCGAGTCTTTGTATCATCGTTGGGGAGTCACCCAAACCGCCCGGCAGAAGTTCAATGTTATCAAAGCCGCTCAGCTCGTTTGATAGGTCGATGTATTGGGGGAATATGCCGCAACGCTCAAGACATTCTAGGATCCATACCAGAAGAAAGAAGAAAAGACCAAACACGGAACATACAATATCTCTACTAAGATGTCATGCCGAGTTAATCTGCCGAAAGAAGAGACTCAAATACTCGGTCGCATGCCGTACTCATTTCAGATATGTTGTATCACCATTCACTCATTGAGCCATTGGACGCCTACTTGAGGCTTTGTGTCACAATGTTGCACGAGACTTCCGCTTTCTCAATCGAAAATTTTCCAGCTGAAGGGTTCCGTCGCAATTGCCCGAAAATCTTGGCGCAATTCACATATCCAGGAAAATTTTCAATAATCTCAAGACAGTCGTTGCGGGACTCACATACATCTACACCATGCCCGAACCTTGCTCTGGCAATCTATCTCCAAAAGCCCTACCAAACATATTGCACTCCTTGTTTGGCTGCCCGTTTCCCTAGCCGCCACGTGGCAAAGGGGAAAACCTGGTTTTCTGTACAGAGCTAGTTCATTGTTACACGGGCCAAATCTATCGATGACTACGAGCACTGGTAGCCCAAAAGCCAGGACGCTGCGTTGGGCTCTTTCTACAATGGGTGATATCGCAGAGAATCAATGATCGATATGTGATGGGGTTCCATTGGTCGACTATGTTTGTTCCGAAGACTGTTGGAATGCCAGATATGAAGACCCAGTTTTCACTTTTCCGCTGGGCAAATATCTGGGTAAGCTTCTCGCTCATAAGGTCGAGGACTGCGTGCTTCCTGACTGGAGTTGTTACCTCGTCAAGAGACAGAATTTGAGTGGCTGAAAGCTTTTCTTCGGGCTGTCACGTTCATGGAAGGCTTGCGAAAGGAGAAGCATAATGGATTGGAAGTCTTGCTTGAAAGTCACGAGGGCGCAGATGCTGAGCACTGAGGGGATAAAAGCTCTTTCAAAGAGTCGTAAGTGTATGAGCACCGAGCACAAAGGTATTCAGGAAGAGGAGAGTGAAGGACGAGAAGTCTTGACATAACGTCATGCAGAGGGCGCGAGGGCTGAAGACAAACCAGCTGAGTAAAAGAGAGGAGTAAGGGGCTGCAATCTTTGTGTCGGAGTCATAAACGAGTCAAGGACGAGGTCAGTTTGATCGTTTGATCCGAGGAGCTTTGTCTTTGATTTGCAGGATGCCTTGATCCTTGTGTTCGAGATGGCCACTTGGCTGATGACTGCGAAACGCAACAGTCCTTTTTGAAAGGCTTTGAGTCTCTTGAAGGGCATGAATATGGGAACTCTAGCTCGAGAGATGATGCGCGGTGGATTTGCAGTGTGTTTCTGTCATTATGCTCTTAGGGTAAGGTATCTGGAGCCATTGGATTTATTGGATAATGTGTGCATTCAATGGTCTCATATCATGTAGAATAGTTATTCTATTGTCATGTTCTATGAAGTATGTAGGAAGGATGGAGGTAGACTACCTATTTATGGTGTGAAGCCCACGCTAAGGCTATTTGCCACTTGTGTCTTTGCCACCATGAGGAGTAGTCATAACACCTATTTGGAACTTAGTAGTGTAGCCATGCTGGCCTCCTATTGGCTGATTCCAACAGGATTGAAGGAGGATTCTTGATTGGTCATGAAAGTCTAACCCTGCAGCCGCTAAACCTCAGATGGCTCCGCGACATTTCCAAGATTACAAACAATCTTCCCAGCTCGGACTTTCGGTTGAAGCGAGCGATGGCATGACTCGACGTATCAAGAAGCATTTTACCCTGCTCTCAAGGTACTATCGTTTCCCTCGAGACGATCCCTTGCTATTCACAAGCTTGAACACGAGAAGAACGAAGGTCTATCGCCGTCGTCAAAGAATTCACCATTTTTGCTAGAATTCAGCATGGATCCCGCCGTAATCGCAGCTGTCAAGGAGAAGTTCACCGCTTTCGATACCCACAACATTACATATCAAGTGGTCAATGGCCATGCCATCACCACTGATATCCTCATCCCCAAAAACATTCAGCCGGGCAAACATCCTGTCATCGTCAGCTTCCACGGAGGCTACCTCGTCCGTCACCCCCTGATTTCCTCGCGCGGATAGAGTCGGCTGCTCACGCTTGCATGCAGATCACCGGCGCAAGCCTCTTCCCTAGACATTTCCAGCCATGGATCATGGATTTCGCCCTCGAGCATTCGGCCGTTCTTATGAGGCCGAATTATCTCAAGCTGCCCGAATCTACGGGGCTGGAGATTCTGGATAACCTGGCTCAATTCTGGAAATGGTTCCACGGGGGACTGCGGACAGCGGTCAAGTCGGCAACGGCAGGTGCAGTCGAAGCGGATGTATCAAGGACTCTGGTGATCGGGCACAGCGCCGGTACGTCCATTCTTGATCGGGGCCATCTTCGATGATCCCTCACAGCCACTCGCTGACGCTTCGACGCCGTCAGGAGCCTACCTCGCCGTCCAATCCGCCATCGCCCAGCCCGCAGGCACCTTCGGGGCCGTCATCGCCGGCTACGGCATGCTCGACATGAGATCCCCCTGGTTCACCACCCAACGCAACGAGAAACACCCCCTCGGCAACCCCACGCTGCCCCCGTCACTCGTCGACGATCATCTCGCCGCCATGGAACCGGGCCAGGTCGTCTCGGCCGCCACGCCACCCGTCCGCGCCGATCTCGCACTGGCGACGGTGCAGTATGGCCGATACCCGGACATGCTGGGGGACGAGGCGGCTGTGTATCCGTTGGAGATGTTGGGGTCGGTGAAGACGTTTCCGCCGCTGTTTATCTATCATGGGACGGAGGATTCGGCGGTGGAGGTGCGGCAGACGGAGGCGTTTGTGGAGAAGTTGAAGGATGTGCTGCCGGGGGCGAAGGTGTTGGTGCGGTTCGAACACGGCGATCATGGGTTCGACGCGCCTGTGGGGCTGGAGGTGCCGTGGTTGAAGGAGGGGTTGGAGTTCGTGGCGGGGGAGTGGTTGGGTCGTGTGGATGTGGGAGCTTGAGCTGGAAGGTTCGGGAGGTAAAATTCGCTTTAGGCTGGCCTGCACCAAGTTGCTTCTATTTTGCTTGATTTCAGCAAGGAAGACGCCAGGCATCCAAAGTCTCCGTCTGTTTCTCGAATCCGTCGGATCAACACTGGCGTCACGAAGTGTCTTCCCACTTTCGAAACGTCGGCTTCCACAACACGCATCTATTATCATAACTTGACATCGCACATCTCACACCGTGCCCTACGTACGTAGGCACGTAGAGAAACTCTTCAAAGTCCTCTAAAAATATGGATCAGCGAAAGCGCCCGATGGTACGTCTGATGGCGATGGTTCGAAGTACCTATGTACGTATATTCGTCAATGCGCTCCGGCTGCTTTCTTCGCTATCGTGTCGCTCAGTGTCGGTGGAGCCTCTTTTCCGTCTGACTTCTGCTCTGCTCTGTTTTACTCTACTCCAATCGACTCCGCCTCTCTTCAACCCTCCCTCCCTCCAACCCTCCGTCCCTCCCTCCCTCCTCTTCCCCTCTTGCCCCGGGGCAGTGGTCCTGGATGATACATGATCTTGGTTGTTCGACAGATAACTCCTCATCAAAGGGTCTCGCGCGAGGCCTCGTCAGAGAAGAGGAGTAAGCGTCTTTGAGAATATCCGTCAAAGGCACGACATGGAACCTCTCGGGGTGAGGATGAAGCCGAACGCTCGGAATCAACCGACATGGTCATGTTCCTCGCCCGTTATTTTTTTTAGCGCGGGTTCGCTATTCCTGCTCTCCTCGAATGGAAGTCTACCGACTATCCGGGAGCGGGTTCCTTTCGGAGGATAGAGGGCCGTACAAAACCTGTTTCGGATTTCGGGTATCGATGATCAACATCGTAGGGTCCGCCACGCTTAAATGTCGTGGAGATGACTGGATCTCGAAGCCGCGTACTGTCTTGGCCTGGGTAAATTTGACTGTCTATTCGCTTCCATCAGGACTTTTCTAGCCATCCGGTTGGTCGGCGGATAACTCGTCTTGGAGGATTCCTGTTTTTTGGATTCAATTGGTGGGACAGGCAATATAATGGGCTTCTGAGCACAAAGACTGCCAAGCAAGGATCGAAGATCATATCCCACGAGGCAAGTCGTGTCTCCACTCTTCCACAGCATGCAGAGAAAGTACCTTGCATACACCCGACAACCGCAGCCCCAACGATTTCAAAAAAAGGAGCCGCACCGAGCAATTCACGTGGATGACGTGGGGGGACCTCGTATTTTGATATCGCGACAGCCGACCCAATTCAACAGTACCTGCAGGAGTCGTCTCCACCTGCAGGACACCACTCGGTACAAAAAGCCGTGGAGGTATATACCCCCAATTTTCTCCACGGAAATCATTGGAAGACCCCTGTTGAGTTTTTGGAACGCCAGTCAGTGCTGTGTATCTCTTTTTTCTTTCCTTTTGCACCGACAGAACAGAATGTGGCCATTATGGTCTCCGCACCTTCTGCTACTGACCTTCCTCTCCCTCACCTCCCTCACGTCCTGCCATCCCCGCCCCCGCGACGATACCGCAACCAACCCTTCTTCTTCCATCCCCTCGACATCCGCCCACAACGACGGCCACACGGCCCCCAGCCTCGCCCGCCGCGGCATCGGCTTCCGCGACTTCCTCGACATCGGCGGCGGTTGGAACCTGTACTACAGCGCCTGGCCCGCCGTCGCCCTCCCCGTCCAGCCCGCCGCCTGGGCCCTCGCGAACCTCTACACTTCCATCCTCATCCAGGCCCGCGGCAAATGGACCGCGTCCCCGCCGCGGCACAGCTTCACCGTCACGTACGGCGGCATCAGGATCCTGATGCACTGTCCGCAGAAACCCATCCCTTGGCTCTTCGTGGGGAATTTCGCGGAGAAGTTGTTGCAGATTACGGAGGCTGGGTGGGTAGGGGTATATGAGGTCATGTTGAGTCAGGCGGAGACGGAGGTTGGTATTAGGGTGCAGTTGACGATGGTTAGTTAGAGTTGGTGGGAGGGGTCTGGGATGGTATGTAGGAAGTTTTGGAGAATATATGGCAATCGACTCACTCGCTGCACGTCTGTTGGTTGGTGACGGCGGAAGGTGGATTGCCCCATCTTCTGGCCGCTTTATTCGCTCCGGACCCTTCCGTGTCTATACACACTCATCTCGTTCTTCGCTGGTACTGAATGTGGTACGCGATTTGATCTCTTTTCTGTCTCAAACATACTTGCAACCGGGAGTAGTCTGAGGCAGTGCCCAAATTTCCTTCCCCGCGTCATTCAACTCTCCCATTGACGCAGAAATCTCCAATACTGGGCTTTTCCAAGAAAGATCTCGAGAGGTTCTACAACGCGGAGACTGGAGAAGCACCGAGATCAGACGCGGTATGCCCGTGAAGACACAATCGACTTGAAACGGGCTGACGCGGTCTTCTCGCTTGTTGTTCAATTCATCTGAAAGGTGGGATGGACCCAGCAGTGGTTATCGTCCATTCAGACCCATTCAAATGGCCGCTCAAAGTGCTGCCTAGAACAGATTTTGGAATGCTGACATGCAGGATCAATGGCATCATATCTGAGATTTAAACAGCTTAGTTTGACCCTGTACGATTCTGTCCACATTAGACTGACGACTCATTTGATATGCAGAATGACAGTCTTGCAAACCTCTCTAGTGGTTGGCTCTTCGGGGCTCATTCACTGTTCAAGTCTCTTGTCCAGACTCATATGATCGTGCACCCATCCCTGTCTCCTCCCAACTCCCACCTCAACGACGCATGTCTCTCGCGCCTCACCTCGTTCCATTGGCTGTTCTCCTTCTCTGTTCTATCTCGAGGAAGATTGTAGTGCGGGATGTCTCCCCAGGGCAACGCCTGTTGATGCGGCGTTCACAGGTGCCTTGGTGCTACAAAATAGTAGCGGTACAGTGGTACTCGCATTGGGGCGTTCGGCCACACACTTTTTCAACTTCCGCAGAATCGGGGTAGGAGGTTCGCATCCGACGTACATAGGTAGGAATAGCATCATGCTGCCGAGGGCCCATGTACACGGAATGTGACGCGAAAGGTGCAAAAGCAGACTCGTGCCGAGGAAGAGCGTGGCTCGCATGGTGCTTTTTCATACCATTCGGGTGGAATGGCGTAGGCTGGGGATCGCATGCATGTTGGCGTCATCGAAGCCCCTAAGTTCAGATGGGGTTTGTGTACTGTGTTTGTGCGGGTCGCTTGAGATTTTCGGGGAATTGTTGTTGCGTCGAAATGGTGCTTGTCTGGGTTTAATTAGCATTGTTGAAACTTTGGACAGCGTCAAGGCAGTTACCCTCCGCATTGTTGAGAGCCTGGTCTTCCCAGGCTTCTCGGCTAAGAAGATATCCTGAGCTGAGCTAGCTTTTCCGGGCAATTTGGAGAAGATGATAACAGATTTGGAAGAAGTCGCAGGAACATAAACTTGCTTTTAGTCGCTGGAAACTTTGACATAGATGAGCAGCCTTGATGAAGCAACGAAAGGACGGTCCTGGATATATGAGACTGACTCCGCACCAGTTTCGCAAGGATGTGATCTATTTACCACTACAGTGCTATTATATGAGCCGGGAGCGCGGGCTGCGGCAAAAAAGACTTCTTTGCCAATGACGGGCGTAGATGTCATCAGCCCTTGTGCAGGTCAGATTGGGTCGGGAAGTAAAGAGAATCATTATCGCAGACGAGATGATGGCACAAGAATAAATACAAGTATAGACTATAAGTGTCCAAAATGACGTGAATGTCAGACCAACAGAAGCATCGAAGGTCCACCACGGCTGCCAAACGCAGTGAACATAAAGTAAACACTCGGCTAAAGGGCGGACGAAGTAGATTACTACGGTCACGCACAAGAGTGGAATGGGCAAAATCATTTTGAACTTTCAAGGGCAACCGTAGAAATTTTTATACAAACGTCATTCCGGATGTATCGTCGGCAACCGTAGAAATTTTTATACAAACGTCATTCCGGATGTATCGTCGGGAGATTACGACGATTACTTTTCTTCTTCATTATTTCGCCCTTTGCCTCCAATATCAATCTGAACATGCCCGTCAGCCAAGACGCTCCGTTTCAGCCACCATATCCAACCACCCTACCATGCCTTCCAATCCTTCTTCTCCCGCTACCTCCAGCCACACTCAACACTCCGATACAGAACCTGCATCACCACCTGCCGTACATCATGACGAAGAAAACCCCTCACACGTTAACTCAGAGAAAGAGAAAGAGAAAGATGAGAAGAAGTCGTATCTCGTCGATTGGGAACCAAATGACAAGGCCAACCCTCGCAATTGGTCAACGTCCTACAAGAGCTGGATAACCTTTCAATTGGGAATGCTCGCCCTGTCTGCCAGTCTGGGCAGCAGCATCATATCCCCAGCCGAAGATGCCATCATGGCCTACACCCACATCAGCTCCGAAGTTGCAGTCTTGCCTATCTCCTTCTACATCCTGGGATTCGCCTTTGGCCCGCTGTTATGGGCTCCAATCTCCGAGGTTTGGGGCAGGAAATTGAGCATGGAGCCCGCCATGTTCTGCCTTGGCCTCTTCTCCATCGGCACGGCTACCAGCACTAGTGCTGCGTCCATCTTCATCACACGGTTCTTTGGTGGTGTCTTTGGATCTGCGCCTGTGAGCAACGTATCCGCCGCGCTGGGAGATATGTGGGCGCCCAAGGCGAGGGGCACCGCTGTGACTTTCTACGCCGTTGCTGTTGTTGGCGGACCGACGCTTGGGCCTGGTATGCAACTATGATACTCTAGAGGTTGATGCAGATCATCTCGCTGACCCCTAGAAACAGTGATCGGAGCCGCTCTCACGGTGAACAAGCACATGGGATGGCGCTGGACTGAATACATCGAAGCGATTTGGGTATTTACCATCTTCGCCATAACCACCTTCTTCCTCCCTGAACTCTATGGTCCCGTGCTCCTCAAGCGCCGCGCCGCCTCTTTGCGCAAATCGACTGGTAACTCAGCGTACTGGCACCCGCATGAGAACGTAAAACTCGACTTCAAATCAATCGTTACAAAGCATCTCGCACGACCTTTGCGCATGCTGTTCACGGAACCGATGGTCGCTTGCATCGCTTTGTACGCTAGTTTTGTCTACGCGCTACTGTACTTGACATTGGAGGTCTTTCCTATCGTCTTTGCTCAAATGCGCCATTACAGCCTTGTCGTCAGTACGCTTCCGTTCCTCGGCCTATTCGTCGGCGTGCTCGCCGCCGTCTTCATCAATCTTGCCAACCAACCCCGCTACATACGCATCGTGGACCAGAACGGTGGCAGACCGGTCCCCGAGGCTCGTCTCCCGCCCATGCTCGTTGGTGGCTTACTCTTCGCTATCGGGCTTTTCTGGTTCGGATGGACCGCGGCTCCTCATTTTTCATGGGCTCTGCCGACCGTGGCGGCAGGCTTTATTGGCGCGGGTTTCAATGTCATTTTCCAGCAGTGCATCAACTTTTTAGTCGACTCTTACGGCCTCTATGCCGCTAGTGCTGTGTCGGCGAACACGTTTCTGAGGAGTTTGCTTGCTTGTGCGTTTCCGCTGGTCGCGAAGCCGATGTTTAAGAATCTTGGAGTAGGGCCCGCAATGAGTGTCTTGGGCGGTGTTGCATGTCTTGCATTGCCGGTGCCATTAATCTTGATGAGATATGGCCTAGGGCTTAGAAGGATGTCGAAGTTTGCTCCGGTACATGACTAGCTTCAGTATTTGGGTACGAAATTTACGATATATACATAGCAGCACTAGGCGATCTTTGAGACAAAATAGACCACTGCTAGGCATTTTGCTACGATTCATAGCCGCCTAAAGTATTGTATCCCGGCCGGCAGCGAAGGATAAAGGCGTCCGTTTGGGCTTTGAGTAGAGTTTCAGACTGTATACTCTAGGTAACTATACAAACAGGCAACGGCAGCGGAAGTGGAAGTCGAATAGAGCAAATGGCCAGGACTGGAAGCAATGATTGGTTCGCAGCTACGTTAGCATCGAGCCGAACTCTCCCATACCTTCCTTCCTTTCTAGCTACATACTGTACGTCTACAACCCCCAACCCGCTCGCTACACGTACCCGCCTCTCCTCTCCGGAGACTTCCCCGTCCGCGGAGACGCCTTCCGGGCCACAATTATTAATCGGGGCGATTTTTCCGATGCAGATCCGCGTCACCACACTTTGTCTTTCTGGCGAAACGTAGATTACTCGAAGCTTGGAGTACGTCTGTTGTTGATACTGTTACATTTTCGATGATCGGCGCGTCTGGTTCGGGATCCCGGGTGCGGGAAGGGAGTGGGGGGAGGGGGGGTGCCATCGTATGGGAATGGGAAAGGGAAGGGGGGGGATCCTGTTCATGAGGGACGTACTGTACTCTGTAGGTGGAGGGGCGAGGTGACGCCCGGAAGATGCACCCTGAGCGGTAAGCGGGACTCTGGTCTTGGTTGATCGAGGAGCGGGGGTTGTATCATAGGGGATGTCATGTTCTTGCTTTTTTTCCATGCGTCCGGTGGTTGGAATTTTTAGCATATGCAAAACTTCTTGAAAGGGTGCTTCTATACGGAGGTCGGCACTAAAAGTCCTGGACATGCCAAGACAAGGGTCCAGGTAGGGCTGAGTGCTTGGTATGCTTCCAAATTTCATAAATAGCATTATTATTCTTTATTTTAATAAGTACTAGTGCTCTATATAATAGCGACGCTGTGTATATATACGGAGTACATATATACGAAGTGCATATATGCGAAGTATATGTATAATAGCAATATTAACAGAGTATATAATAGGGATAATATTAAAGTATTAATTATATCTAAAAATAAATTTTTTTTTTTTTTTTTTTTTAATAAATAATTAAAAAAATAAAAATATTTATTTTTTTTTTATTTTTTTTTTTTTTATTAATTTTTTATTTTAAATAATATTAAATTTTTATTAAAATTTAAATATTTTTATTTTTTTTATTTTTTTTTTTTTTATATTTTTAAAAAAAATATTAAAATAAAAAATAATATAAAATTTAAAAAAAAAATTTTTTTTTTTTTTTAATAAAAATAATTTTTATTAAAATTTTTAAAAAAATTAAAAATTTTTTTTTTTTTTTTTTTTTTTTTTAAATTTTAAAAAAAAAAAAAAAATTTTAATAAAAAAATTTTAATTTTTAAAAAAAAAAAAAAAAAAAAAATTTTTTTTTTTTTTTTTTTTTTTTAAAAAAAAAAAAAAAAAAAATATTATTTTTTGTAAATTTTTTTTTAATAAATTAAAAAAAAAAATTAAAATTATTTTTGAAAAAAATATTTTTTTTAAAAAATTAATAAAAAGAAATTTATAAAAAGCTAATATATTTAATATTAGTATTTCTATAGCGCTAGTTAATAGCCTTTATAGCGAATAATATTAGATTTAGAAATTTATAATAAAATCTTAAAAATCTATAAATAAAGAAGAGAGAAGAGTTTCTTTATAGATAACGTTATTTTTATAATATATTACGTTTATAGCGAAGTAATATAATAATAATCTTTATTATAAAGATTTAAAGAGAATAATTAATAAAGCGACGCGTTTATAATAATACTCTCGATTATTAATTAATAATAATAATAGAAATAATAATAATAATTAAGCGATATAGCTCTATAAATAATAGCGAAATATTATCATATCGTTATTATTTATATTACTAGATACTATTTATTAATATTAACGCTATAATAAAGAATATAAAAATCTCTTTTAAATTATTTATTTTTATTCTTTATAACTTCTAACGTCTCTCTTATAAGTATTTACTCTAGCGTTATAATATTAATATTAATACTAATATAAATATAGTATATCTTATTATACTAGTAATCTACTTCTCTTTATTATAAATATCTTATTATTATTAATCGCGTTAATACGTAAACTAATAATTTTATAATATTCTTTTTTAATAATAATAATAACTTTAATAATAAATATATAGTTACTCTATAAGCGCGACTACTAACTCTTAATTATTTCTATTACTATTATTTTATATATATATCTATTAATAAGTTCTAATATCTAATTTATTATATAGAACTTATTTTTATTAAGATAACGATTTATATATTTAAGATAAATCTTCTCTTTATAATAATTATAAGATTAAAAAGCGCGATATTAATCGCTATATTAAAATCCCTCTATATCTTTAAATATAAATAAAAAAATTAATATAATATTATCGTCGCGCTAAATAATTTTAAAGATTATCTTATCGATGAGCTAAATTTAATAAGAAGATTATTTAATAATATAAATTATAAAGATATACGATAGTAATAATTTTAATCGCCTTTATTATAATTATAAATTTTTAAAATTAGTTTATAACGATAAATAAACGCGTAGCGAAGTTAAAGAAAATAAATAAGTTATTAAAAAAGAAGCTTAAAAGCCTTTATTAATATATAGCGAATATCGATAAATATTAACTTAAAGATTATACTTTAATTATCTTTTTATTAAAATAATAAATTAATAAATTTAATTTAAAATCTAATATTAAGATAATAAAGAATATTTAAATAATAATCTTTTTTAGTAATAGCGCTAATATAAAGTTCTTAGATAATACTTTAATAGCTATTCTAGATAAAAATATATTTATATTAATAATATATACTTTAATATAATATAATTTCTTTATAATAAAGTTTAATAGATAACTAAATAATATAATTAATTAATTAATTTATATTTTAATAATAGTAAATATAGAGAAGTATATACGTAGTATAAGTATTATCTAGAAATATATTTAATTTAATTAATATTTATATCTTATTTTATTATATTTATTTATTTATTATTATTTTATATAATTAAATAAGCTCTTTAATAATAATAAACTTATTATTATCTATTATTTAATACTTTTATTTACTATTTATCTATTTATAGACTTAAATTAATTTATTAATATTAATAAGTTTATTATTTAATAGTTATTAATTATACTTTTTATCTTAATTAATTTATTTAACTTTATATTAAACGCCTTTCTTATATTTAATCTTATTAATAATTTTTTTAATTTTTTAAAGCTTATTATTATTAATAAGCTTAAAAATTTATATAAAAATACTCGCTATATTATTATAATCGAGATTATAATAAAGTTTAAATAATAATATATAAAAGATATTAGAAATTTTATATATTAGAAATAAAAGTAGATAATACGTTTACGCCTTTATTTTATTTATAATTTAAAATAAATTTATAAATTTATAAGATAACTTCTTACTTAGATATTTCTACTTTAAATTCTTAATCGCTAATATTATTAAATCGCTTATCTTATAACTTTAAAATTAATATATTTTATTATAATATTTAAACTAAATCGTAATAGCGCTATAAAGATATTTTATTATCTTATTTTTTAATACTTATAATTTTTTTACTTTATTATTTATAGCGAATATCTCTCTCTTAATAAAGTTATTTTTAATCTTTTAATAAATTTTAGAATAATATTTATATATTAGAAAGAATAATATTATTTTAATAAAGAAATATTAATTATTTATATAAGCGAACTTTATTATTAATAATTATTTTACTTAAATATATTACTTATCGTTAATAAATATATATAAGAAGTATTTTAATATCTAATTTTAGTATTTAATCTATTTATTAATTTATAAATAAAAAATAACATTTAGATATTACTTATTTTAAAATAAAAGTAAATAATAAATTAAAAGCTATTAATAAATATAAAGCTTCTATTATTAATAATATTATTTAATATATTATAACAAGTTTAGGCTCATAAATTAAATTCATAATCTATTTTTTAAATTAGAACTATTATTAAAGGAATAGTTCTTAATATTATATAATATTGATATGGTATAAAGTTATTCCATTAATCTATATAATCTAAGGTATATATGTGCGGAGAGGCGCTAAAGGCCTAATTAGGAAGGTGTATCGAGTGTAGAGAGGATTAATCCGTAATAATTGCCTATAAAAAATAGAGAAAGACCATGTCCTCATAGCAAGAAGTATCGAACTACCGGAAAGAAATGGAGACAACGTGCTAGATAGTGGTGTGAATCCCAATAATATCTCCTGCCGCAGTGAAATCTTTCGAATAATGAAATAGCTGTAGACATCGGACGGTTTGAATTTGTCCAAATATGCATCGTCCGATGTTTTTCCTGCAGAGGCCGCAGTGGATGTACCATATTAATGCAGTGGGGATGACAGGCCAAGTTGTAGTAGTGTTCTCCGCTTGCTGAGTGATGATTTGATATGGAACTGTGGAGAGCATATGACGTGGGATCTTGGAGAGTTGAGCCGTGTTCTTGACGATGGTGGCCTTGTTGCCGCTTAGATTTCTCCGCAGTGTTCTCCGTATTTACCTGTTGTATTTCCTCCTCTTACTCCTTAATGCAGTGGGGATGACAGACTAAGTTACAGTGATGTTCTCCGCTTGCTGAATAATGATTTAATGTGAAACCGTGGAGAGCATATAACGTGGGATCTTGGAGAGCTGAGCCGTGTTCTTGGTGCTGGGGGCCTTGTTGCCGCTTGGTTTCTCCGCAGTATTCTCCGTATTCGCCTGCTGTAGTGACTTCTCTTGCACTGGCTGAGTGGATTGGTATGAGATCGTGGAGAGGATAGGCCTGTCGTGTCACTACTGCTGATAACTGTCTCCGCAATA